TCCCGTGACCTTGACAAAATCGGGGGGGGAAAAAAATTGAGTTGAGAAAGCTACGCTATCTCTTTCTTTTGTTCATTTTGTCTTCAACATTTCTTGTAAATGTTAAATACATGCGAGAATATACGTGTTCCTACGAACGTGAAGTCATGTAGACTGCGTGCATTTTTTTCCTTTCTTTTCCGCACTTACGTAAACGAATCGAGAACAAACAAATCATGACTACCTAAATACGACTTATAAAATTCTATTTTTTTTCGGAAGAATTTTTACACATGATTATTTCCGTAGATAAAATGATATAAATAATTTGATCGTTCTAAAAATGTTCCATTTTCTAAATGAGTTAATTAAAAAGACATTGAAAATTTTTAAATATCAAACCAACAAAAAATAAAATATATTTAATTTGGGAACATTAAGTTTTAAAAGTTAATTTTTTTGTCTCTCCTATTTTTCTTATATTTAACGGTACGATATAAAAAAAAAAATATAGACTAATTGCAAATAATATAGATTATAATATATCTATGTGTTACATCATCATGCAAGGAACGGTACATAAACCGTACCCCGATGTACCGCAAGATTCATAGTTTATTCCCGTTCACGTTCAAGGATTTTCTCTTTCCACCGTTTCATTCAGCGATAAACAAAAATGAAAATGACTTTTGTTTTTAATAATATCTCTTTCGAATATTTTTAAAATTTTGTTTAGTTTAATCTAACTTAATTTAACAAAATTTTATTTTCAAAATTTTCTATATTCTATTGGTTTGAATCTTTTTGTAAAAAATAAATAAATAGATTCATTGTCGGAAGAAATATATAAAGTCTTTTAAAAATATCAAACAAACATCTTTAACGAGATTCAACGATTATAATTTATAATGCAAAGTAATGACTTGAAGAAACATGAAATCTCTGTACAGTTATATACTCCACGAGTCATATCGAAATACTATCTGAAGAGATATGAAAAGACAATATCTTATAATGAAATATGTTTGACAAAGATGTTTCTATTTTCATCTTGCTTTATCTATTACAAAATTAAAGTGTTTTATAACTTAATAAATAAGCGACAATCAATATTTTTGCATATTAATTTTTATATTTGTTTTTATTTTTAATTAATCTTCTTATGTTAATATTTTATTTATAAAAAAATTAAAAGTAGCTTAAAAAAAAAAATAATCTAAAAATGAAATAATTTAAAAATGACAATTTAAATAATATATAATAATTAATTTATGGATTATATTTAAATAAGTATTTACTAAAATCATCAATTTTTAAAATTACAAGTTTCACTTCATAATAATATATAAGAGAAAGCTAAAAAATGACTAAAGAAAAAATTATTTTTTTTTAATAAAAGGTGTTTCGCATAAGATTATTAATGTGTCCATTCAACTTATTCAAAAACTGGTTTATCAATTATCCACGAATAATGAACATCTACTATAGGAAATTGAGAAATCCCAAAAACAGGAAATAGGATAAGAAAAGGAAAGTTTCATGAGAAATTAATCGTTGCACATCCTGAAAGCCTTGAATACCTATTTTTTTTTTAATAATGAAAAACCTTGATTCCTTATTAATAGATAAATTCATATTGAAGAAAAAATTTTAATAAAACAGTTAAATAATTTTGTTCAATTTAAATTCAACTGACTTACTTATGAAAGCACGGTATGTAAGATAGATATTTGAAATTTAATACGAAATACTATCATTGTCGTTAATTATTTATTGATGATCAGTCTTGGTCATCCAAACAGGATAGACAACGATTTATAACGATGGGAAGTGACAGTGCAAGTTTCCTGATTGCAGTTTGCCTTCACTGTGGAAATTTTTTTCAGAGATAATCATTTGGAGGAAATTACCAGAGCAAAAAAATAATAAAATTCCGTGTGTAAGAAAACAATTATTTTTTTTTTAAATAATTTTCTAAATATAATGTCCTATTTAGGAATTTTTATTACCTATATTTTACCTTTATGAAATTGACATATATAGAAATATTTTAGAAGAAAATATAATCAATTTGACAACTTTAAAACAATATTTCAATAATAAATAAAATTGTCCAAAAAAAAATATCAAAAAGAGAATTCCAAAAGTAATAATAAAAAAAATAAATTCAAAAAAGAAATTCTAGTAATAATGATAAAAAAAGTAGCAAGAAAGAAATTTATAATTTTTTCTAAAATGATTTAAAAATTTGAACTGATGCCAGTTAATTTTTTTCCTAAGTTCAATATATATGCAAGTATATTATACACATATGCATAGTATACAACTAGTTTAATAGTGATCGTACACAAGATAGAGTAAATTGGTTTTCAATGGATAGAAAAAGCCGAAAGATAAACGTATGCAATAAGTCATCGTATACAATCTGATTACGACATCGATACGAGGTGCACCGTGGCCCAGATTTTCAAATCAAGGCCAGGATGTTTGTTCACATACATACATACACCTGACAAGCAAAAAACCTGGCCGGTCGACGGCGAAAGTGTCCGTGCATCTGCAATATATTTTATACATTGCAAATCCAACAGGAATCCAAAAAACGAGAGAAAAAAATGAATGAATATATTCAAAATAATCAATCCGATAACGAATAGTCTAAATAATCATCTAAACTCGATAAGATAATGTTCAAAATTATATTTATTGATAGCATATTAAATTAGTAATATTATTTTACTTGCATAACATATTTTTCTATGATTCGATTTTATCATTATAAAATTATCTCTTTAATTATCGAATAATAATTATTTAAACATCCGCTATAATTAAGGCGTATATATATGTAATCATTATATACGTAATCACTTAATATATTTTTTTATCATTATCACAAGAATTAAGCATTTATTAAAAAATTGTTTAATAATTATTTAATAACATTCTGACTAACGCTGAATCAAATAATCGAATAAAAAAGTCTATTAAAATTCGTTGAGAACGTGAAATTCAATATGGCCGACGGATAAACACGCCTAGAACCAATCGGTGACTATTTTATAATTATTATTCCGCTCGGTGGGCAGATGGTCGGTCATAAACTTTGCCAGCTAACGGAATGCTAGCTAGTAGTGATCATAAAAAACTATTTTTACACGTAACACGGGTGTGTCGCAGAACGTGATAGCTACCTCGATTCGATCGAATTCCAGGAAAAGGAGAGATGAGAAAAAAAGAAAAAGAGAGGACGAAGGCCCCAGCAAACAGAATTCACGCTGGAAAGGTCACGCACGATGTGTTTACAATATGCGATCGAAATTACGTTCTAGTATAAATATCTTGTTAAATATTCGAAACATTTAACCTTGATACATCTCGTTTGGAATTATGTTTCATTATTATTTAAACTTTCTCTGAATTCTCTTGTTCCATGTGGCAATTAATTATGCCATGAATTTTATATACTTAATATATATATATTTATATTTGTTTTGCGTATACATATTTCTTACGAAGCATTTCTTTTTTCCCTATTTTTTCACGTAACACACGATTACTAAAAAACCGCTTATGATCGATTCTTATACAAATACGGAATCTACATAGCATTCTAGAAACTAGAAATACTAAAAAGGAAACTTTAAATACGAGCTAAGCTGTACAAACAGATGATGATTATCACACTCTTTATTTGACTGTTAGTTCTTTTAATAAGATTCGCTAATACATAATTTGACGATTTGAATGATATACTATTTCTTTTTTTGTTATTTATGAAAATTAATTATAATAAAAAATTATAATAAAAAAAATTATAATATTAGATGAAAAAAATTACTACTGATATCATTTAATATCTTTTTTCTTTAATTAAATTTTAAAATATGATATAGTAATTTGATATTAAAAAAAATGTAATTATTATTATTATTATCAATTTATTATTATTCATTTATACAATGTTTTGTTGATACTTTTGCATAATTTATACTTATTATGAGATTTATGAAATCTCAAAGGCATTTAAAATCAATTCAACAACATCAATTAAAAGTAAATGAAAGAAATGTGTTTTTTTGAAAACATAGAAATTTATCATTGAAAATTAATTAACGAACGATTCATTAATTAGAAATAGGATTTTTTAATTTATATTATTTATTATATAAAATATGTTGTTATGAGAATATTATGCCTTGAGAAATATGGAAAAAAATAAGTATAAATTTCATAGATTAAAATATGATTAATTTTGAAATGCTATAATATAAAATTATATATCAAATTATATAAAGAATAAATTTCAAATCTGACAGTTTTGTAACGTGAATATGTTTATATTTTTGTGATATTCACGTTAAAATTATCACAAGATCTTAGCATATCAGATAAAAACACGTAAAAATTTTATCAGAAGGATAACTATCTTACAATATCATGAGACAATTTATATCTCTGACGAAAAAATTATATACGTTTATTGCGGAACAATTATGAAAATTGATAAGAAGACATTTGAAAAATTGAAGTTATTGATTTACAATTAAAAGCAATAAATATTTTGTTTGAAGACGACAATTTAATATTATGGAATAATATAATATTATATCGTGGTTTATCCAAATAAAACATTATAAAAGTTACCGTTATGATAACACGTAATTCACTATGCATTTCATGATCATCATGGACATTCGCTCAATAACCTATTTTCTATTAAAATCTAAATTATTTCTAAAGTACAAAATAAAAATTTTCAGAATTCGATTTTATCAATTTTGATAAATAAATGATAAATCGAAATTTGTGTAAAGTTACGCAAGTAAAAATTTTAATTATTGCAAATATTATAATTTATGTATGCATAAATGATAAAATTACAATTATTTATCGTGTAAAAATGGAAATATCCGATTATCTAATCTTAAAACTTCGTCAAAGAAAAAGAAAGACAATATTTTTTTTGTATTATTTGAATTTTTAAAAAATTAGACAAATTTAAAGAGAAATAGACTCACCGAACAATTAATTTTCCTTTGTCATTTCGATAATTATTAAACTTCTGTTCTAGCCTCTCAAATATACATTTCCAGTCACGAATGTCATAAATTTACAATTTTTTTTATTCACTAACACTTGCAGTATTCGTCAGAAAATGTTTTAAATTTTTATGTTACTTCACATCAAACAATCACATTCCCAATTTATGACTACAATCTTATGTTATGTAAAAGTTCAATCGAATCAAACGTTTCGAATGTGTTTTTTAAAATGTAAAAATTTATATAAATGATAGAACTAAACACACGTGTCGGAAAGGAAAAATTAATACTCCTCTCTCTTTGATCGACAAACTACGACTGATCGTACCTAACGGCTTTCGCGCGGATAACTTCGGTAGTTTTCGCGCGCGTTCGTCGTACCTTTCCGACAATCATTCGGGTATTCTCGGTTTTCAACTTCGGCTCTCATCGTTCACTCTCGAAATTAAGGATAAACGAACAATTTTCGCAATTTATCAACATAAAATTTTTGCTATTATCATAAATTTTTAAGAAATATTAAATATCGATGATCAATTATTTCTTATCTTAAAGGAAAAAAAGGAAAAAAATATGTATTTTAAAAATTTAATTATACATTAATATAAAAATTTCTATTTTATGTTTAATAGTTATTCAACATAATTTTTTTTAGTAAACAATTAAATAATTAAATAATTTAATAAATAATAAATAAATAAATAATACTAAAATATTTCTATTATTTTAAAGAAGAATTAAAATTAGTAAACATTTTTAGTTTTAATTTGTTTTGCAATAATAAATTAATTTGTTATTAAAAAATGTTATTAAAAGATATATAAACGAATTTATGAATCAATTTTGTTTATTACTGTCATATGTTATTTCTATTCACGAAATGTTTATACAAATATTTTCCCTACCATTATATGTAATTGAGAGAAAGTTTTTTGTCAATGCGATTTCTCACAATTGAGTTCAATTAGTCGTTATTCATTAATAATTCATTATATTTTTCGTGAAAAAAACTAAGATCAAGATTGATTAAAATACAATTCACACATTGAAAATTGCATTATTAAATTTACACAAGAATTACTTCATCATACCATATCTATGATTTTAAATCATTAATTTACAGAAATTACATTAACATTTTATTTGAAAATCTTTCAATTTGAGATCTCAAAAATGTATAAAATGAAAGTAAATCATTGGACGCAAAAAACACGCATAACCAAATATTGTTCTATTATTTAAGAATAAATAAAATTAAGATTATCAAATTGGATAAAAATTAGAACTTACCGAAATATTTTGAAGAAACGATAAAGTTTTAATCCCATTTTCGCAAATTCTTTTCACAGATTCATCAAGGACACTATACAGGATCGTATTTGAAAATATACTGAGGGTACGTACGAGGGTTACGCATAATGCACAGCGACCGTTGGCAACGATAGCATAGTAAAATACCGGTGGCAGCTGTTAAACTGCCAGTTCTGAAAAGTATACCTCCGTCACACCCTGCCATTGACTCTTTTCTTTGTGGCTGGGAAGTGAAAAAGCTGTATTGAATCAAGAAAATAAGAAAAGGATGAATAAGAAACTAAATTCTGAACACGAGGCAAACAATCGAAGCAACGAATCACTTGTGTAGTTGCGCATGCTTGGCACGCGCTTTTGCACATATGTACATAGTTGCACGAATGGTGGAGCCACATATTCTATTAGATTAATTATTTTTAAAAATTTAATTAATTATTATAATTTAATTAAAAATGAAACATATACATCGCAATAAAATATGATAAAATTTATTGATAAAATCTAAGATAATAAAAAATTATAATTTAGAAAGCATTATGATTAAGGCATTTTAGTTTATAAATTGTATCTTATAATTTATTACAAATAAATGTTTTAAAAACTATTTAAAATGAATATTAAACTTCATATTGAACTAAAATTAAAAAATTAAAAAAAAGATCCATAAGTTTGATAATTCAATAGAAACTATTAACAAAAATAGAAATATAGTCGGAATTGAATTTTTGCTTTGAGGATATAGGTTATTACGCAAGAAATAACTAATTAAGGTATGTATCGATTGAAATAAAAATTGAAATAAAAATTGAAATAAAATTTAGAAACAATTATGTATAAGTTTGTGAGGAAAGAAAAGATTGATTTATTAAAAAACTCGAAAAACTTTGAAAAGAAAAAAATTCGAATTAATAATAATAAAATTAATAAAAATTAATAAAAATTAATAAAAATTTATTCGGATACATCGAATTAAAGTATATAAATAATTATGTTTCAATAATTAATATGATTTTTACATGTACATATCCGTATATTGTACACACGGAATAATTTATAAATAAAATAACTTTTCATATAAATAATAAAAACCGAATAAACTGTAAAATAAATAAAAGAGCCCCTGCATTATATGCAACATAATCTACGCAATTGTGAATATGATTGCAGTATCATAGAGACATGCATAGTTTATGCCATTCGTATAATAAATAAAATTAATTGCTTTTTTCAGCTCAATTGAATTAATTCTAATTAATCCTATTCCATACATTCTAAATTATCTATTCAAATAAATCCAATCTATTGAAACTTCGAATTCTATATTTTTGATGAATAATCAGACCAAAATGATCATATCGAATCAATCATCAATTTATATTTATCACGTTATTAATGCAATATCAACAAAAAAGATAAACCAAATAATTCTAACCTGTTTTCACTGCATATATTAACGAGAATGGAAGATATTATCGGTTCGCATACGTCTTTCGATGGAGCGCGATTTACAAGGCAAAAGTTAGAAAGCATGGCTCCGTCTGTTTCCGAAACATTGAGATTTCTAAAGATAAAGGTATATTTGAACATGTACTGCGCATTTTCGTTAACTTTTGATTTCACGCGATTTTAAAACTTGTTAGTATCATCCAAGACCATCTTCTTGTCAATGTGAATTTATTTACTCAATTTACTTTCAAACTATGACTTCCATGTAAACAGATATCACGTATATTCACGTATTATAATTTCAGGATTAACGTGTTATTCTGCCATGTAATTATATTGGTAAGATAGATTTATTGACTCTTATTTGACAGCAAATCAAATATAAATATGAAAATATCTCTACAATATGATATTATTTTACAATATTTTACATTTGCATAATATGTATAATTGTTAAATCGCGAAAATAAACTTTCTAAAAAGATATAGATGAAAATAATGTATATTATCATATTATTCAATGATTGGACCATGATGATTAAATCCCACAGAATCATATATGCAGGTAAACGTAATTTAATCTAACAATATGATACAATACAAGAGAATCATTATTTCAAAGTGCGAAACAACATGGTAGACAGTTAGTTTTTAATCAAGAAGGAAATATATAATACGGTATTATATATGTGGTAGTAGAAAAATCATGGCAGTGAAAGGACAGTGTATAAGTAAAGTGACGAGAAGGTGAGGCGAACGCATGCATGTAAATTGTTCACAGGTACTTTCTCTACGAATTCATTGTTATTTTCAGAAGCGTCGAGTCGTGTGTGAGATCTGCAGGAACACGAGATAACGGTGTGTAATGAGGACATTCTTGAAAGCAGTCGAAATGCAATCTCTGCACAGCCGACAAATTGTCTGAGAACAGTGTCGTTCTCAGAGCTGGGCTAGAGGCTGCCATCAGCCGTAATTAATTGTAATTACGGATAATTAGCGGGATCCCTAACTCTTATGTAATCAGATCCCACTGTTTCGTATGCAGAAATGGATGAATGGATGTACAGAGAATAACGTCATTTTGAAAATTAGGATATTAATTGTTCTGCTGATTATTACATAAAATATAAACAATATAGAATTTAATAGATGTAAAATTTTGGCTATTTTACCATATTGAGAAATTTTTAATAATTTTCTGCATTATAGAGAATTTGTATAACTTTGTTCAAGAATTCATTACTTATAATTCTTTCATTAATCAATCACTATATAAAAGCATCTTGAAATCTATATTCTTTAAATTACTTTTATTTAGCTTCACTAATTTAATTTTTGAGCAAAAATACATTGCTTTATCAATAATAATCTTCTAAACTTCGCTCAATTTTCAATTCAAAAATCATTGGCTTCATAAAAACTACTAAACTAAAAGAAAACTTCCCAGGAAAGACAATAAAAAAACATGAAAGTCGTAAAAAATTTTTCCTTAAGAAGGAAAAAATCCAAAAAAGTAAAGGAATGTTCCAAAGCTATAAAACTTTGGTAGCTGAAGAAAAGAAACTTCTTTCAAATGTATTCTTTATCGACTATTCCAGACTAACTAATGTCGAACACCTGCAGCCATCCCATTGAAATGCTCCCGCCAAACGCTCGATGGATCGATGGAACCTCGATGAATTCATATCACTTCCCGTCAGAACGGAAACGCCGTGGATGGAATAACTGAACGATTGGAAACGCGTCTACGCTTGTAAGCGATCGTTTCCTTGCAACTAGGCGGGGCATCCTCATCGATGCATCCCCGTGCCAAAAAGATGCGTGTCTTCAATGTTTAACGATGGAATCGATGGAGTGAATTCAGATCACCACGACACGGCTATCATTCTAAATTGAACGCTTTTTCCCTTTTGCGTTCTCTCTCTTGGCAACCGGTCTTGATCGGATCGCCATGGTTCCACGAGCCAATTTACCAGGCAACAGGTGATGAGTTAACACGATACACGGTCTAGAATGATAGAGTTTAATGTAGTGGAACTTGACCTGAGCTGGTTGCCAGGAGAAACAATATGATAGTGAGAAGAGAAAATAGTTTGGTCGGACAAATGAGTAAGTAAATGATAAAAATGATATCGAAGAATAATTGTTGGCGACTGGATAAAAATATTTTCTTTAGTTCGTTGACATCGAGACGATCGTGGTCTGTTAATTTCTTCTAACTGAAAATAAATAATAAGAATGTTTAAAAGCCATACTCATTGAATAATTGATTTGTAGTAATTAATTTTTATTACAATAAAAATGAATTCTATTTTTTTAATTTTTTATTAGTTGATTTTATAATCTATATATTTTTTATATTAATTCTTTAAATATGAATCTGGTGCACAAGCTTTTTATAAATAAAACAAAATATCAAACATTGATTATTATTTTGATAATTAAATAGAATTGGTTCTTTAGAAATATAAAAATTAATTTAAAATTTCTCTTGACACAGAAATACACAAAAAGTCACTTGACCATTGAAAGATCATCGTTTAAACAGTGCCAATCAAACCTCGGCGAGAAAGTTCATGTTAATAATATAAAGATATTGCTATTTAAATTTAACCGGTCAAGCATCTCAAGAAAACCACGTTGAAAGAACAAGTAGAACGTTCAAGTACAATAATCTTCTTAAGACAAATTTGATGAATAATCAAGAGAATATTTCAAGAGAAGAGAAGAAAGAGAGTATAAGGACAAGTGTTGAAATGGACTGGATAGAGAAACTGATCGAGTTTCGATTTTCATGGGATCTGGTTAAGTAAAAATTCATCGGTTGGATTGATTTTCTTGTTGGCATGCCGTCCGATAAGCATGGTGTTAAGGTTACCTAAGCACTTTCTATGCCAGTCGATGGTCGCTCGCTTTGAACGAGTCTCGATTCGGAATGGAAATTATGTCGTCGGTCGTTGTTACGTGGAATGTCGTTCTCCGATAATGAGGGACACCGCCAAGGATACGTGCTTGTTTAAACCGCTGTTGTTTGACTTCATTCACGAGAAGCTTGTGCACCATGCCCACTTTTATTGAATTATTAATGTGATCCCAAGATTTGATAGTAATACATACTTAATGAGGTCACTGATATATAGTATTAGATGTTTATTATAATTCATTCACAAGAAGTTTGTATTTTTTTGATGAAATATCCATTAAATACAAAAAAGAATTTTTATTGTATTATAGTATTATTGACAAAAAAATCTACTGAAACATAGAATGATTAAATTTATTTTTATATTTGTATTATAATATTGTATTAATTGCTAAAAAAAAGAAAAAATTGTCTCAAAAGAGTTGAGTTATCATATATCAAAATCAAAAAATGAATCAAAGTAATTTAAACAAGAAGAAGAAATAAGAAGAGAGATATCTTTAAGGATGGCGAGTACAATCTCCAATAAGTAATTATTATTACTTTTATCTAAGGTACCTTGTATAATATACACGTATAAAACACTGGAAACGATACCATAGACCGAGTGTAAAGATCGATTGAAGATAGCGGTTCACTCATGGAAAGAAACGTTAATCTATGTCCAACATACTCCAGGAGCCGGAATTAGTTTACCAGCCGGACAATCGCGCATTAATCTTCTGTTGCATTCGAAGAGAGAGAGAGAGAAAAAGAGAAGAGGCTCTTTTTATTAAGGAAAAACGGGAGTATTGTGAGAATCTAGCTTTTGGAACCATCTTATCTGAGCAACAATGGATCTGCCTGCTAGAAGAATTATGAGTGAAAGAGGACTTAAATTTAACTGCATAAAAGATCTTCGACGTGCACAATTTATGATTCACAGGAAATAATTTTGATATCAGATCTTAAGAGTACATTATTAGGTTTGTTATAATAATTTTGATATCAAATATCTCTCTAGTATTAAATTTTAAAAATTTACTATTTCATTTTTTACCATTTTACTCAAACTAATTTATTAGAAAATCTGTGATATATCTCTAATAATCTGTAGAATTTATTATTTTTATAATTGTTTCCTATTAATACAGATTTTTATAATCTCTTAGATATTTGAAGAGTTGTTTTATTGTAAAATTACTATTTCAATACTACGCAACAACTGAATGTTCGACTAGAAATAGAAAATTATGCATTGAGCAAGTAATTTTCAAGAAGTTCTTGAAAATTAGAATTACAAAGAGTTTCTTATCGTCGATAAGTGTAGTTAGATTAATGCGAAGATTAATACAGTACGAAATATAATTAACTAGAAGACTAACTTGATAAAATGATTTTTCTTCAATAAATGGTAGGTTGATTCCTTGCAAATATATTGAAAAATATATTTAAATTTTTACTTTATTTTTCACTTTATTGCAATGCAATATATTCCAAATATTAACATGCAATTTTCTAATCCACGATTTTCTAATTATCCAACTTTCCAATTTCCTAATTCAACCGTACATTATTTCGACACAGTATTTTCAACGATATTTTGCAATATAATAACAATCCTTTCAAAATTCTTTCAATATTCTTATTTTGAATATTGCATCTATAATATATACAATATTAATTGATTTATATTAAAGAAATTGGATTTCAAAATAAGAAAATAAAAATTATTTGCTATGATATATATATTAATTTATTTTTCTCAATATATAATGTATGTTATATAATATATCCTATATATTTTTTTATAAAAAAGATGGATGACAAAGAAGAACTAATACCGCTTTATATGTCGATTAGTAATTAAGCATGCTGACACGATTTCAAAGGTACTTCCAGCTAAGAAAAAACCAAGATGAAGGAAACGATACCAGATAAGGCACAATCACGACGCCCATACTCTGACTCACGTAACCTTCTTGCACGGCTATTGAAAGAGGACGAACACGATAAACTAGATAAATGGTAAAAGGTAAGATCAATTACTGAAGAAGAAGAGAAAAAAAAATAGAATTACGAAATTGATTTATCATTTTAGATAAATCTCATTTTGGCTATATTATCCTTGAATGGTAATAAAAATAAAAGAATACTAAAAATATTTATATGAAATTAATTTTTTCAATAATTAACAATTGGTTAATACACATAAGTAAGTATCAAATGAGAAAGATCAGAAAAAAACATTATTAGACAAGTATCAAGTTAAAAGTAAAGTCATCATTTGCTACTTTCATATTGTTTCAGATAATATAAATTTTATTATTATTATTCATTTAATCAATATTCGCTTTCACCTACAAGGTAGCCAATACCTTCATAAAATTCCATAACATTTTAAGATTAATAGATACTGTTATACGATAAGTTTCTGCACTTTCTTCCTGTCAGTAAGAGAATTTCAATTAGAATCATTATGTGTATATCCATAAACAATATTGTTTATGAATCTCTATGAAAAATGAAAATATTTTATTTCTTTTTGTAAAAAGAAAAAAATAGATATTCTACATATTTTAAAATATTCTTCTATTTTTTTTATAACCTTAACAAATGAAGAAGAATCAGTGAAACGAACGATAATCATTTAATAGTGATGCATCATTATGAACACCCGAGTTTCGAACCGGAACACTTTGTTTTAGCTTGAGAACATGGTTGGCGTTGAAGATAAAAAACTGGTTAATAATTTACGCAAAATTAATATTGCAATTATGATTCGCACCGTTGCTCTTGTCTTTTCTTTCCATCTCTAACGGTAGCAAGCACTAATCACCGTATTCAAATTCACCTTTTGCGGCCATTTTATACATTCATATTAAATAATGTGTGTAAATAAATCTGATTTGATTAAAGACAAAAAACCTTCTAACAATATCATAATAATAATAGAAATTATATTATTATATATATTGGTCTTGCTTTGCATTATTGGAATTGGAAATTACCTATTTAAAATTTATCAATGAAAGATTTCTTCTAGTTCACATTTGTTTTTCCTTATCTCTTATTTTATTTTGATCAAACAATTTAAAATTTGAAATTTGATGTAGAATTTTAAATAAACTTTATGTAGATATCAATTTGATAAAGTTTAGTAAAAAAAAAATTAATAAATTGTGAAAAAAAAATCAAATAAAATACAAAAAAATTATATTAAATTATATTATATTAAATTTAATATTCCATTTATAAATATTAATTTTTCTCAAATGAATAAAAAAGATGCTTTGACAACAGAATAAATGCAATACTCTCATGTTATATTTTACTTCATAAAGAAAGATTTCGTCTAAGAAAGATTTCAATTTGTAAAATAGATAATCTTATATAATATATGAACCTTAATTTTTCCCAGACAAATGAAAAAATATTCTTATCCTAATAAAATTTCAAATACAAGGATCTTCTAATTTATAAGATCTATATTTTTAAAATCTAATATTTCAATAATAATCTTTTTCAAATGAGAAAAAAAATATTTTCCAACAATCTTTCTCAGTCAATATTATAACTTGTCTTCAGATTGATGTAAGATCAATTACAATATATCTAGAATTGAAATAAAAATATAATAAATAATCTATCGATTTACAAGAGTAATTTATGAGAAGAATGAAAATAAAGTTGATGCAACAGTAAAGTTCTCTTAAGGGAATCGTTTTCGATTAAAAGGAAATGCTACCTCCCACATGTATAAAATTGCATGTCACACGTGACTGCGTTCCATGGATACATAGGGTGCAACATCCTGAGGGCAATCGGAGATCATTCCATCAGTGCATGCGTAGGAAGTTATTCCACTTGTCCAACAGTATCGAACGATACCTACTTTTACCTCCGGTTGACCTTCGCGTTGCGACTTACTTTTCTCAAGCTTGACTGGTCAGAGATCTTGTCGAAAACATACGAGCTGAGTACCTATAAGATTCTACTAGTACCTACTAGCTAGTGTCTGAAATATTTCAATATTGTTTCTATTCCAATATTATGATGTACTAAGAAGGTTTGAAGTAATTGAAAAATCTTAACATCAAATAATAATAATTCTGATATATCTAAAAATATTAAAGATTTAAATTCTTTAAATGTTTGAAATATATATATCAGATAAAAATATGAATTCAAGAAATGAATACTTGAAATTAATTAAAACTAATTATTTAAGGATTTAAAATACAAAATTATATTATCAATGTATTTAAATATTTAGGAATATGAATAAAATAAAATCTAATAAAATTATATAAAAGATTCCTAATGCCCTAGCGTAATAGAACTATTTAATATATTTAAGGTATTCTCCTCAAAACATGTAAAGCATTCCAAATACTTGACATCAAAGCGTTCATAATTCATAAATTCATATAATGAGATGACAAAGATAAAAATCCTAAAAAATTTAATTTACAACTGTTGATCACTTCTCTTTATGACGGATTAGATTGAACTATACAGTCAAATCAACAGGAAAAGGTGACTCACCTGTTCTTACGAGGCAATGTCGTAATAGCCATGTTCAAGGACCCTTCGTACCGATGATTGTCCTCTTTCGATCGCCTAGGCAGTTCCGTGCAAACACCATGCGTGAAACTGTACGTCCTCCGCTTCTTCAAACACAACATCTTTGGTTCTTTCTTCGTCACACTTTCTTTTTCTCTCACTTGGATCCTCTGTTTCTCATTCTACCTCATAACTGAGTACCAAAACACACTCTGTGCATCTTCATGTCCTTTGGTAATTGGTCATTTTTTTAAGTTTACATCAACCTGAACAGAATCACAGTTTCTTTTATCAGTGATGAATATATAATATATGTATAATCACTTGTTATTAACTTTATATTAAGTATAAATATTTTTAGGAATACATTTGATATTAAATCAAATATAAATTAAATTCGTTTGATAATTATATATGAAAATTAGATTATAGTTGAGTTATAGTTTTATCAACTCGAAGAATGGCCGGATGCGACTTAGAACGAAGCGGAACCGTGACTGCAAGTCGATTGTCAGAGGCGACGAGAGAGAGACGTCAGACTCGTGGCGGAGTTATAACTGTACTGAAGACTACGTTCGGAATTCTTCCTCGGGCGCAAGTGCGCCCGGTGATAATGACCCCCACGAAAATTACGGGGGCACCGGCTACCAACCACGGTCCCGCATATATTTCGTTAAATGCCGTTTCTTTAATTGCCACTTGCTTTCCACTTGTTTTACCGGTATTTTCATATTTTTATTTTTTTCCCTTTTTCTTTAAATCTATTCTAATTTAATCTAGAGGGAAAAAATAGTTTTTTTATTATAATTTTTGTACGTTTTTTTAAACAATTTATTACCTTTATTTAAATCTTAAATTGGAAATTAGTTTAAATGGAATTTTAAATTTAACTATGCGACATAAATAAATCAAATAACTTACTGAACCTGTAATTTATTTAAAAGAAAACCTTTTAATTGTTAAACTTTTAAAGTTTATATCATTTTTTGCAGAATAAAAAATGAAAAAAAAATCTTCAGAAACTATGAATCATTCTGAAAATACAAAATTTATATAAAAACAATCCCAAAATTATTCCTTTGTATCTATTACAGAAGAATCTTTACAATACTTCCTTTTTGTAATATTAAAAATAACAGTAATCAATAATCGAATAATCAATAATGAGCTTTTTAATGTATTGGAATCTGCATTTGATGCCGGGAATTAAAGATTGTTTCGAATTCCTAATAGATATCTCGATGGTATATACGTGGCGCCAAATCGGCGTCACTGCGCGATTCTCGAATCGAAAATGAAGTAGACGAGAATCGCCAACCGATTCGAATTTTCAAATAGAAAGAACGAGATAGGAATAACAAAAATGTTTGTCGAGGCGTTCATGTAATCGTCACTTTCGAGTTCTGCCCACTTTTCACCTGGAATCCGAATACGATGAGAAAACGTTGTTAGTGTCAGAATTATGTAATACCGTTAATAAAAATTAATTATGCGTTTCAAGCATGCTCTCTAAATTTTACACATTCACCTTGTTAATCAATTGATTATATTATTATTTTCTTTTTTTTTTTTCGATTTTCTTTATCATTTGGTAATCATGGTTATTCATTATGGTATTGTTCTCTCTTTTTTCCAAAATTTGTATAATTAAAATTAATTATTCATAAACAAATTATTGTCAAATTGATTTAATGCTAATAAAAAAAAATATATTAATCATCAATGAAAATTTTTGAGAAGATAATATTTGAAAAAATATTTGATCCATTTTTTTATTATAGATTTTAATTTATGATTGATTTCATCTATATCCAAGAAATGAAAACAGCCTTCAAAATTAGAATGAAATCATATTTCAACTCTAACATTAACTAAGAGAAGATTAAATTTATACATTTTATTTAAGACAATCTTATAATATTTCTATACGAATTTTTCTAAACTTAATCATAAATAGAATCATTTTTTTCTCAATTTCTTAACTTATCTATTCTTCTATTATCTTTAATATTAGTAGAATCATTGATATCTAAAATATATAAAAACAAACAAAATATAATCCATTAATAAAATTTACAAAAAAATAAATAATATATATATATATATTTGTCAATAATTTGTCATAATAAATTAGAATTACAAACACAATAAAAATATATTACATTTGATATATAATGATATATTATCTATTTTTTGTAGTCTTCTTAACAAGAACTAGCTATTCCATACATAATAAAAATAATTAAATTATTTAGAAAACATTTTATCATCGATGTTACGTTGAAAAATTAATTTTTCAGTTCATTTCGTTGCCTCATATATCTGAGTATGAAATCGAAATCATGTATATACGCGATTTTCCAAATAATACAGATTAGCATTATGATCTAACTCTATTATCAAATAACTACCCTGATTAATATCGGACTGGTCAAGAAATGATCATCGGTAACAACCAATTAGAAACGATTCTCAGACAAGATGAATTCAGTGGATATAGTGATGATTCAAGCTTGATTCTTCCTAATAAATTATTCATTCGGTGTCTAACGGATAGACTTGGCAGCAGAATTCACGCGGAATGCACTTCTCTTCCTTTGGATTGAATAGCTAACATAGATGTATTAGTATCTCCTCTGAATTTTCCTTTTTCCTTTTTAAACATTTCTAATTTTTTCTTGTCGACGTTATCCTGTGATAAAAAAAATTGTGCAATATTAAAAAAAGCATGGTCATATTTAATATCAGGGAATTTTTTTAAAAATAATATTAGATGCTAGATGGTTCAATGATTTTTGTTTTGAATTTGAACTAACGAAGGATAAAAAATTTATTAGTATTTCTTCTGTACTGTTCTATACTGTTCTGTATTTTCTAAATTTCGCTTATTATTTGAAGATATAGAGTTTTCAAAAAATTTATATATGTATTCTAGAATAATTAATGTTTATTAATATTTATTTCAAATTATAAAATGCAGTGGATTGTAATTTATAAATAAGTAATTTAAAATGACCAATGATCTTTGACGAGGATGCGTAATATGGGTCAAAACTTCAAGCCTGATTTACATAATTAACATACTAACATTTAATGGATTATTAAGGAAATTATTGTTACCGTTAACTTCCTGTCTTCTAATATATAAAACTTTCTAATTTGTAACATTATTTCAAAGAATTCAATTGAAAGTTAGTATAGATGAAATCCAACATTCTAAGACTTATTAAGTCTCTCAATATTTTTTATTCTTTAAATTTTTATTTATTTTCTTGACGATTTAGAAATAATTAAGACTATGTGTATACATATGTATATATGTTTTGCAATTTCATATACGTATATTAAAAAAATTCGATTTATGAAACTCTGATATATAGTGCACATCAGAGATATATGGTAATATGTTGTGCAGTCTGAGAAGTCGGTTGTACCAGCAGTAAATGCAGTTATGTTGCACTGACCGCTAGGATGCACCAGCCGGTCCAGAGGTTTGTTGCTATGCAATGTGACGTTTATGAAATAAAAGTGTCCCAACCAAGGACAAAAAAAGATGAATACAGATTCACTAGAAAAAACTATCTTGATTGATGAATCTTTAAATACATATAAAACAACTTTGATTCCATGAAGATTTTTTTTTAATTTAAAGATTTTAATTATTTATACTTGTTTAATAAAAAGAATATAATTTTTTTAATCCAATTTAGGATAAATATTTAAATATAATAATCTCAGAATTTTAATCTTGATTCAAATTATTTATGTATTGGATAAAACAGATTTCAATCAAATAACTTCAAAGAAATAATAATTTATTGCAATAAATAGAGAATATAAATGAACAAACCTAGAAATAGAAGAAAAAATTTTAGCTAATCAATTCCTAATCTCTAGAATTTTTAAGAATATAAAATATGTAATCAAAAGAGATTTAAATAGCTCAATTAAACTACATTCATATATCATTTATAGTTCCATTAAATTTCCACTTATATTTTTCATCAAAATAGAGACAGCCATATATGTAACTAATATCGGTAATATCTGTAGAAAGGGTTAGTAAAACATATTTCCGTATAATAACAGTGCAACAACATTATAAAATTCGCCCATGAGAAAGATAAGAGTTATGGTAACCTCCACTTTGGCTCCATCATAGAAATTACGCTAATATTTTCACGTCGCAAAGCGCATCCTCAGCCGATGAATAAACAGATAAACAGCGTGAGCTAGTCACGAAAGCGAATTGCGAATTAGCATAAAAGTGAGACGCGGATGCACCAGTACATTATGATAATCAACCAGATCGATCAATTATGTAAATATTCGCAGAAAAACATTAGATAACTATGTTGACAGGTCTACTATACATTTTTCTATAATAATTTTTTCAAACTAACTATATTTTGTTGTTTAACGATTTCTTATAGATAATTACAAATATGAAAAAATTCTCATATAATCATCTTCATTTTGAATTTCTTTAGTTTTCTGAGATTATAATATTTAGATATTTAGATTAATAATTGTATCTATAATATAATACATATATTAGATTTTTGATAGAAAAAAAAATAGATCTTATAGTTATTGATTTTGAAATGCTCAAATATCTCGAAAGATTGTTTGAATAGATAAAAATTATCCAGATATTTCATTTTGATTCAATTAAAATTTAAGAATTAAAAATAACATTTTCAACCATTTTTTAAAGATATTTTCATTACATTAATTAGAATTATAAACGAATCCTAGAATACTATATTTACTATTTTTAAATTTATAAATTATATTCAGCATTCAAGATTTATAAATCAGTTTATTACTCAGAAGATTAAATAAAAAAAATATATAGCATACTATATAGTATACTATTAATCACTATTAAATCCTTTCATATGAAAACTTTAGTTTTTTTAATTTCACAATGTTCAAAATCAATTGCCGATTTCATTGCATGGCATGGATTTTTTACAAATGAACTATTTATTGATACTTCGTAACCGATTATATGATGGAGGAAATACATGTGAAAAAAGAAGTTTGAAAATACTTAGAAAGCGTGGCTCAGTCAGAACGCATTCCTTCAAACACAATGCTTCGTTGGACACGTTGTAATATAGAGCTGACATTCCTATTACTTTGCGCCGCATACAACATTCTCTCGCTATACAACGATAAACTGAATCTCCTTTTAGACGTTTCTTCCGCACATATTCTATTGTAATACATAGGGGAAATTGGACTTTGTAATCTGTATTTGAATCCTTAATGCAATAGAATCAAGACTAAAATATGCGAGAGAATGATTCAAATCTCAAAATTATATATAATTGGAATAATCCAATTCTGTTCTATTTAATTATTCCGGTAACATATATTTTTCTATATTCAGAATCGAGTGATATATGTGGTACATATATATGATAAATTTATATTTATATGATAATTAAATTTAAATTTATATGATAAATTTATATTTATATTTTATGATATTATTCTTGTTTATGTTAATCTCTATATTTGTATTACAATGCTAATATTTATATAAATAATCATATTATTCAGTGTTTATGGTTATCTATATTTCCATTAATCGTTTTATTTATATAAATTATTATTTATATATCATTATTATCAATTTCGTTATTTATTGCATCAATTTCTTTTTTCTTTTCACTCATAAATTTTAAGAAAAATCTATAGATTATTGTATTTATTGTTATATATGCAAATAATTATACATATATAATTTTTCTTATATATAATATATCGAAAAATAGTCATTTTATAGCTTACCTGAACGAGATGTATCAATATTAAATTTCAGTAGGTTAGCTTCTAACTGAAATATTTCTTTACGTTGCCAATATCATTTCCCTATTATAAATCTTCGTGGATTTTCTTTTTATTATTCACTACACATCACAGTGAAACATCACTTTGTATTGTTAAAATATTTCATCTTTTTAATTGATATTCGTACCGTATTGTAAACCGGCGATAAATCGAAGCATCTCGAACACCATCGAATGAGAAACTGAAGTTTACAATCAACATCGAATTTTTAACTGTCAATCATAATTTATATCTAAAATATTTTTAAAATGTAAATAAAATGCTAAAATAAAATGTTAATACATTATTGTCTATAAATTTTATCAAAAATATAAATAATATATGCTATAATATAAATTTCTAAATAAAAAATAATAACCAAATTCAAATTTACTAATATATTTCATTAGAATTAAAAAAATAATAAAACAAAAAATATGAAACAATAATTAAGAAACATTATATAAAATTTAATTGAAAATATAAAATATTTTAATATTAATTAATTTTGAAATTTCAGTTAAAAATGAAATATTCTACATATTTTTTATATCTAATAATAATAATTTTATATTTATAAATATTTTATATCTAATTACGATGAAAATATTTTTTCTCAAATTATGAAATCTCTTGATTTCAAAATTATAATTGTTAAATATTTTTTAAATTACAAAATCAATACTAAGAAAAGTTTGCGACAATATTTATCCAGTTAATGATTAAAGTGCACTGAGAACATACAGACTGTCGCGGCCAATGCAGACCAACCTAACTGCTTGGTCGCTCGCTATTCGTTTGAAAAAAATTTATACTTACATGTATTAATTTATTTACATGCAACATTGATGTTTTATTTTTTTATTTTAATGAAGCTTTTTAAAATAAATAAAATAAATTAATTACAGTTGTTATCATAAATATTAGTTTTGAAAAAAAATTCTAAAAATTTTTAAAATACATATTATAGAATATTAAAATATTCTTTTAAATATTTTTTTTTAATTTAAATTTTTGTAAAAAAGATAATGAATTTACAAATTTCAATTGATTTTGAATTCTATTAAAATTGATAATTAATTTTAAAAAACGAATTATAAATATTTTAATGAATATGTAAGATTTTTTAATGCACCAATTGTATTTTATGAGTTTTCCAATAAATTGATTTTCATATATTCATTATTATTATGAAAATTATTATCAAATTATTAATATATTGTTATAAATATCTTTTATTATTGTATTTATAAATATTTCATATCAAATTATCTTTTTCAATACTTATAAAATAATTTTTTAAAATATTATATATGATATTACGAA